CATCTCCTTCGAGGTGTTGCTGATGACCGACGGGTAGAGGCTTGCCCGCCTGCCCTCAACGTGCTCCTGGCATGGCACCCCAGGCTGCATCAGCCCTGAGCCCCAGGGTGGGGACTGTCCCCACCCCCTGGCCTCAGGGAGAGCATCTGGGAGAGGTCATCACCAAAGCAAGCTCTTGCATCCCTTTCCCACCTGCCGCAGCCCAGCTCAACCCACACTCCAGCTCCCGTGGAGAGGGGGAAGGGGCACTGCCATCTCACCGTGTAGCGCCAGAGCCCCCCGATGTCCTGGCTCTGCTCAAAGCAGGTGGGCTCCAGCCCTTCATCCAGGCAGCACTTGGTGGCTGTCAGCCCGCTGACACCAGCAGCCACCCCTGCCACTCTCATCCTTGCTGTCTCCACTAGGCACCCGTGCAGCAAACTGGGCTTAACCTGGGAGAAACCCCACCAATGGTCACCACACTCCCAGGGACCAGCTGCCAGCACAACCCCCTATAGGGGATTTCTCCATAGGCCACCCCCAAACCTTGCATCCCTGTCATCAGCATTCTGGCTCTTAATTTACAAAAGAGATTAAATGCCTTTAAATCTTAATTTTCTGCAACTTTTATTTATTTTTTTAATGAACCCACCACTTTCGTAGCATGCTCACGAGGCTGCATTCAAAACCCCACAGTTGCCCTGGAAACTCACTTTGAAAACATGTAGTTAAGCCACAATTCACTGCCAATTTTTTTTTTATACCAGCTGAGTTTAAGCTAACTCTCCTTATCAGTCTCACAAATATTTGTGTTATATCCTTGGAGAGCTGCCCCCACCTTTCTTAGAAAACAAAACATGCACTGGGACTATCCAGTCTCCACCTCGCTGAGCGGGTCCCATTGGGGTCAATGTCCAGCCCTGGGGGCTTCCAGGGATATTGGAACCAAAGCTTCCTGTTAGCAGTGGGCAATGTGACAAGGGACAATGGCCAGGTTTTGTGGCTCAAGCCCGACATTACCAGAGCAGGGACAACCCCACAAGTGCTCTGGGGGGCTGTTTCAACCCCTGGTTGAACCACAACACTGGTGGCAAGCACCCTGTTCAGCTGAGTTATTAACCCAGCGTACCAGGGTGGCACTTGGTGTCGGGTGGCACCAGCCTCTCCACCCTGAGAAGCTACTTCAGTTTCCACCAGACATGGGGGATGGTGTATCCAGAAAATAAATAAATAAATGAAAATCCTCTTCAGTAGAAAAACAGAGTTGGACACCATTTTTTTCTGCAAAGCAAAACACCAAATCCCCCATGAAAAAATTCAATTTCCAGTTGGAAAGCAGCACTAGTGAAGCTGCTTTCCAAGGCTGGAATGAAAACTGGACTTTTTCCTTTTTAAAGGAAGACAGTGCAAGCATAAGCTGCTCATTGTTCCTCTGTTTTGGGTGAGGCTGGTTTTGCACGTCGTATCACAACCACCTCCCAGCTACGCACGCTATTGAATTCCCCACCTTTTTGCAGAAAAGCTAGAAATAACACCCAGGAATCCCCACCTTGGGCACCCTGTGTGCCTGTTGCTGCCGCACCTCCCACCCCGTCCCCACGAGCAGCAGCAAACCACAGTGGGGTGTCCGCACGGGAGGGGATGGGGAGGATGGAATAGGAAGGCAGGGAGGGATGGAAAGGCTTCACAGGTCCCTGGCAGCTGTTTCTCGACTTACCTCCCGGACTCAGCTGTGCCTGCCCCTCCGTCTCGCCGCCGCGGTGCGGGGAGCCCGTCCTGCTCCCGGTTTATAGGGGAGACGCGGTGCTCGGGGAGAGGCCGGGCAGGGCTGGCAGCTCCCCCCGCTCCCACGGCAGTTGCACAACCCGGGTTTTCCAATGGGAGGTGGAGCTGGACTCTCCTGCTGTGGAGAGAGGTTGAGCCAGACGGCCCGGCTGGTGATCCCTCACGGGGGGGATCAAGTGCGTGGGAGAGCTCGGAGTGGTCCAGATGTGTCCCGCAGGACCCTCGTGTGCAGGGGTGGCTCGTGGCTGCCTTCCGAAAGGGAGGTGAAGCACAGCAAGGTTTTGGCAGGACTTTGCCCCCCAGGACACCTTCCAAAAAGAGAGCTTGGGTTTGCAGTCACTGCTCACGGGACACTGAGGCTGCGTCACCAGCCACACGTGCAGCTGCCAGCGGTGGGGTCTCTGTGCAAACTGGGGGAGCATGAACAGCCACAAACATCTGTGTACCGTGGTCCTAAGCACAAAGACACTGGAAAAGTTAGCTGAAGCATCAGTGCAAGACACAGCACCCATCCAGGTATCTCCTAGGAGTAAATCATCATGGAAGGGAAGGGGACAACCATGGCTTTGGACACATGAACAAAGCCAGTTTTGTTGGTGAAGGGGACAGGACTCAGTGTCCCTTTGCTGGGGCATTGCTGGGAGTGCAGCAGCCTGGGCTGCCATCCCTCTGCAGCACCCACAGGGAGACACCAGCCTTCTTGGTTTTCCCTACCCCAGGATCTCTTGCTGTTTCTGCCCAACACCTGGCTCCTGACTTTCCACATGGGAGCACACCAGGTTCAGAGCACATGCCTGGTCTGGGGCTGGCTGTGCCAGCCATGCTCCAGCACAGCTCTAAAATGTGTATGTGCAGGGAATGGAGCCTACAAAATCAAACTCATTTGAGTTCAGGCTTCAGACCAGTCAGCAGCATGAAAAAACATTTAGATTTTGCTCTCCCATACCACTGGAACACAGTTGCTGGGGCAAATGGGCAACAAGCCTTGCACATCTTTGATGCTGCTGGGGTTTGCAACAGCTACATCTCCCAGTTGTTCCTCCCACTGGACTCTTCTCCAGATGCACAGATTTTTGCACCTGCAAAGACTCTTGCCAGGCCTCAGGAAAAAAAATAAAATTAAAAAAAATGTAGAAAATCCATGTAGGCAAATATTTTGTTCTTTATCTGCTCCTACTTTTCTGATTTTCCCAATAGGCGCTTGAGTGACTCACAGTTAGAGGGACGCAGTGGCAGCTTCCCAGGAGTGGTGTCAGTGCTTTGGGAGGGCAGTTCAAGGAAGATTTCTAAGAGAACAAGCTGTATTTTGGCATAGATGAGCTACTGGCAGGGGGATGGGGCCAGATGCTTTTGCTGCAGCTGCTTACAGCAGTGGGGGCTCTGGCTACCCCTGCAATAGTCTAGACCAGGTATGCAGGACAAAGTGTTAGCAGAGATGGCCAGTGTGATAGCAGGGAGGTAATTACTGTAATTATGCACATGCACACACGTGCTCAGGGCTCTGAAAAGCCCTTGGAACACACAGGGAAATTATGGGTGCTTTACTCACCTCTGCTGCTCGCAAACATGGGACAACATCTTGGGCCTTGTGCTCTGCCATTCCTTGCAAGCAGGAACACCAAGGACCCCTCTCTCCAGGTTCAGTACGTGCAAAGCAGAGAGGAGCAAGCATATGGGGTGTTTCAATATGTTCTCAGGGCTGAAAAAAAGCCTTCATAGCTTCTTACTCAAGCAGAGCATCTACCTGCATGCTGCTGAGCCCCTTCTCCCCCTGAGGAGGAAAGCTCCCCAGCACCATGGTGCAAGCCTAGACTCTGCAATGAGCTTTTTATCCCTAAAGTAGAAGGAAGGGGAAACTTAATATAGCTATTCAGTCTTGGTCCGATGGCAAAGGCACCTTCTCTACAGAACTCCAGTACCAATTTCACCACCTATGTCTAAAATAACACTTTAAGCCAAGGAGGGGCAAATGTACATACAAACAAATCTTAGCACAGCTTGCTTTGCTGTTTCTAGGCTTGCATCAGCAGCTCTTGGCACTTGTTATGATGAAAGGGGACAAGAAAAAAAAATAAGTGGACATTCTTGTTCTGCCAGTCTCTAACCAAAGAGAGATGCCCACCATCAAGCAGCCACTGGTGCCACATGCTCAGGAGTTGATTTGATAAAGAATTTCGGCTCAGCAGTTGATGGGATATAGACTTTGGGCTCATCAGTGAAACACTTAATTTCTCCCTCTCCAATGCTGCAATTGCCTTTCCTTACTGACCAGAGGGCTTAAATCACTATTTCATTGCAGCACATGAAGATGAGGGTGTGGGATATGGCAACTGATGAGATGGGCAGGGACTGCAAGAAGCTGCTGGTGTGAAAAATGTATTTCCCACCTCCATTTCATAGAGCCTAGATATTTGGCCCTGAAAAAAATTGTTTATGCTTCAGCTTCAAGACCAGAAAACATTTTCCTGTTTAGGAAAAACAGAACTAAACCAAACAAACCCTCTACCCCAAGCAGCAGAGGCTGTTTCCCTATATCCTTTACTGTTCCCAGCACATAGAAGACACATTTCTTTTTAATTTTAACTAGGTACATTAAATGTCTTGAAGTCATCCTGAAGCCTCTCAGGAGCCATCACTATTAAGGAGACTCAGTGGGCTGGAGCAGACATGGCCTGTAGCAACCACTCTGGGAGGGTTATTTGCCAGGGAAGGAGGTCTCTGCATGCAAAAGACAAGTGTTTTACTCCAAAATGCTTGGCAAGGTTCAATCTGATTTAAGAATAAGTCACTGTGTTTTCCAGGCATGTAGCCTGTGGACTTTGTCAAGGAGAAGCTGCTTGTTAAACCTTTTGCCCCTTATTGCCTTAATGAAGGCAGGAGAGCTGCAGCTTTTAACTTACTGGTTTTGGAGTTATCAAAATATACAATTAAGAGTGTCCCCAGACAACTACTCAAAAATCTTCAGAAGAACCACCCTGATGGACACACACACCATCTCTTGCTCACCATGTTCACGTACCAGGACTCCATGCAGATAAACACACACTCCAAATACTGTGGGAGATGCATCCAGAAACACACAGCACTAGGAAGGGCTTTAGACCCTCCTCAACTCAATAGTCCAAAGCTCAGCACTAAGGGGTCTGTCTCTGTCATTGCACAGCTAGTAATACGTCACTACTGAACAGACTGTCAGAGCAAACAGGAATTACATTTAAGGAAACTTGTAAGCAAATAACCTTAAGGAAGAGCTGCCTGGAGAACACACAGTTAAAACCTGCCCACCCGGAACAGGAGGCACCTTCATACCACCACCAGGTGAAGTCATCCATCAGTCTTCAAGTCTTGTAAAAAATTCACTCACCCCAGTTGGCCCCTTTCTGTAAATACTGACAATGCTCCCAGGCCAGGCAGTTCAAATGTGCTGCTTCTCCAAGAGCTTCTCCAGCAGAGGTGTGCCGGGGGCTGACATTCCCATCTTTGGTTCAGGGAAGCAGCAGCACTCCTAATGCAGGCAGAGATGTGCTCCTATGCCACCCCAACCTTCCACCTCAGAACACTTCTGTGCAGTTCCTCCCAGAAACAAGGGGTTTTTAAAAGCACAAAATGCTCAATGCTAAGC